TTTTTACAGTCATGTGCTACTTTCTAAAATTGAAAGATTATCATTTAAAATTGTTATTAAATCTCTCGTGTTTTTAAATCCAGTTTAAGCTTATTGTATTCATCAGTTTAAGAAATTCATTATCATAGTTAAAGGTTCAAATATTTGTAGTTTACTGCTTGTTCCGTTTCTTTTGCGTTCCGGTATAAATTGATATTCTTCTTCGAAGAAAAAAGTAAAAAGGGCCTAAATTATCTGATTAATAATTCAAAGCATTACACGTCACACTTTCTTTTCAGGAAGGAGGACTGTCCAATAATAAAAGGTGAACTTCTTTTTTCTGTATTTATTTTTGGAATAAAAAGTATCATCAAAATATATTTACATCCACTCAATAGTTCCTCCTATATTTCTTAAGAAAACCCATTGCGTTAATCAGTGCATGAACTACACTAGGCATGTCACCTGTACAGATTTCTTGATCAGTGGCTGTTCCATCAATGAAACATACAAAGACGTTCGCATCGTTAATATATAATTAATCATGTTAATCCTACTTTAAATTATTATTCAAACAGATATAAATATAAACAATAAAATGTCTTTCTTTGGTTGTTATTTACATAACCCGCTATTTTTTCTGCAACAGCTGCGGCATTCATCCCCGTACTAACATCCATAGAAAGCATTTTGTTGTGATTCGGAGACCTACAGTACTGCAGTTATCTGGTTGTAGTAAACGTGTATCCTGTGACCATCTACACAAACACCGCGTGGAAAAAAACCTGATTTTTTTTCCCCAAAGTATTGTCCTTTTTTGAAAATTTTCACTCTTATCGTGCTTTTCATTATTACTTTGTGATCGAACCTGCCAATGTTCTGCCAGAAGTGGATTAATTCAGTGAGAATGAAATCTTGTCAAAGAATCGAAGCTGTTTCGTTCAAGTTACTTTTTTATATTTCACCCCCCCCCCTTTCCTTCACTTTTAAAAGGTCTTGTCTGATGTTTAAAGATTAATGAAGAAATTGTATTACTGAAACTTTAATGCTTCTTGTGACTTTTATTTCTGTGCAAGCTAGGGGAAGACCATTCTACTATTCTAAGGAGAAAAAAATATCAAGGCATGAAAATAGAACATCGAAATTTAAACTCTAATTCGCTTGGGGTGGGGGTGGGGGTAGCACTGGTCAGGGACAGATTATTTATTATCTTGTCCCTCAAGGACAGATTACTTATATTCAACATTTAGACTATCTTTGGAAAATTATTTATTGGTTATTCGACCCCCCTTCCTCAGAAAAATGTGAGTTTTTTAATTTAAGAATTTCAAAATGTATAGATTATTTTTCACATTTTTTTGAAATTATACTTTTATAATATAGATCTAGATATATTACGATGTAAGGCCGGAACAATTTTCTGGGAAAGGGGGTGGACATTTTGTGAATAAAACAAGAGAGGTTGGGCATAGAATATTAATTTACATCATCGTTTAAAACATAAAATACTCAGTATTTAAAATATTAATTTAATCTTTTTATTTACAAACAGCTGTAGAATATCTTGTATGTATGTTCTTGCATAGCTATTGTCATTTTCATGTCAATCTGTATTTGGTTTTCCCCGAGTGATACGTCACAATAGATCGAAAACTTGAGATGTGCACACTAAAACTGCACCTCTTAGCGGAGCTGAAACAAGTGCGCGGATCCTGGATCTTGCAATTTTCAAAGCCTGTTTTTTGTACTAAACACTTTTCACTTTCATTTCCTCTTGTGACATTTGGTTGTCCAAGTAAAAGAAAACGTTTAGCTAAAAAAATAATGTTTAAATGATGTACCTTAGTGACAGAATACCTTATATTACGTACAATGCCTATACGCCATTTTGATACAGAGAGAAAGTTCGGGAAAACAGTGTACCTGTGACGTCGTACTTCGAAAAATGACGTCGAACAGGAGTTGTTTGCAGTGTTGTGTTCATTGGCAGTGTTGACATCGCCGCGTTTCACTGGCTATTTGTTGGATTTAATCGTTCTTACGACTATATGTTTTCAGTTATCGTGATGAATATGCATTGGTATGTATTTTCGTTCTCTTGCTCCGTGATTTATTTTCTTCGGGAGATCGGCATGTGCACATGGTGTAGGGACCCGGGTCTAGTCTTCATTCATGGATACTTGGAATGAAATACTTAGGATTTAAGCGCATCGTGGCAGTAAATAACACTTCTACAGTGTTAATTACCGTTTATTACGTACATTGCGTGGACTGATTAACAATACAGACCGAGTACACATTGAATATGGATTTACTACAGGATTTTTAACTAACACAACTGGCGCATGCCCAAAGGGGTTAGTCGACACCCGGCGGCGACTAACCCCTTTGGGCATGCGCCAACTAACCCAGTAAAAAATTCATCTAACCCCTGCCAGTACATGCAACCTTGTTTACACCAATAAATAAACAAACACAACAATAAATAAACAAACAAATAACAAGCAAATAAACAGAAAAGAAGAAATAATTAACAGAAAATAGAATAACTTATTTAATGAGTTTATAAACAAAATCTTTACCCAAATACTCACAAAATATGCAGAGATCTAAGGCAACTTTTTTTTTTATTGAGCTACAAATACATGTAAGGAGACTTAGTAGCTTATTTTTTTTAATTCTTTAAATTCCGAATGAAATAATTATTCCGAGCTGAAATAATACCCTGTTGTATATTGTTTAACCGACATATTGAAGAAAGTGACACTGATAACTTCTTAAGTTACATTGATTTTTAATGTACATTTGAATTTTTAAATACTAGTATTGATTGATTACACAACTTTCCTTTTCATGTTTTATTTGAGAACAATATTGCATGAAGAGTATATGATAAAAACACCTTATATGTCCTTATCTAGATATTGTACCTTATATTGTGCAAGACTTCTTTCAAATGATTCTCATATACCATTTACTTTATTCGAACATTTACTTGTTTGAAAAGTCAATAAAATATATTTCATAAAGCTTGATAATCTTGTTTACTCGCCAGTCTTCCCGTAGAAGTAGTAGTTTATAATATTACTAAAGGAAGTTTTCAGTATCTGTATCAAAATACAGAATGATCAATGATCGATTTTAGAAGAAAAGCTGACTCCTGAAAGTTCAAGAGGTGGGATCCGTTGCCTAGAAAAAGTAAGCATCCCTCGTTGACAGGTTAATTATATTGCCGCGATGAGCCTACACAACCGAATCTCTATGATATCAATTCATTTACAAAGTCTCTCCTCAGCCATCCTTTTTTTCTCTGACTAGCCAGCTGTAGATCTACACTACTCCAAATCCATTAATCTAAAGAATTTAACTTGTCATTTTTTTAGTTGTTTGTTATAGTAGGCTTTACTATTACCTAATTTAAGATTCAATAGAGAATAAAAGACAATGACATTTTCAACATCAACATAATTTTTTTTTATCCAGAGAACAATTGGATGCCATCAAGAGAGAATTTTTAAAAATGCACTTCCTGTCTTTCAAATTGAAGAAATCTTATGTTTAAATTTTGAAACATGCATTTCAATCTTATTAAAATTTATTTAAATGTTCCAAATCCGCTACCGCTTCTGAAACATCTAACATCCCATTCGGGGTCACATCAGAGCGACCTTTCAATTATGAATACATGTACAAGTAAACACAAACACTTTGGCCATGTAGATTCAAGCCTCGGTAAACAGTTATCAAATTAATTCCACGGCTACATATCATCATTATTGATACTGTCTTACGTTGAATTAAAGTAATTTTGGAATAAATTTCATGTATTTTCTGCAGTCTGGCATCTAAACGTGAATAATGCAAACGAAAGAGCACAAACTATACAAGATACCCCACACGTCATACATAACACAACTTTTGCAATGCATATCTTTTTACTACAAAACTCCTCGGGTGTTTTGGTTGGGTGGTGAAAACAAGAAACCCATCTGAACTATTAGCCAGGATTTCGGAGGAACCATTTTCTTTGCCTAATCAAAGATTCACTCTTACATGACCCCAAATAGGATGTTGTTAGATGTTTGAGAAGCAGTAGCGGATTCGGAACATCTAATTTTAATTAGATTGCATCCATCTGTGACATCAGTTTGGAATGTTATTTGTTTTACTATTGAGTAAAGTATTACAAAAACAGAAAGTCTGGGTTTTTTCTTCTCTGATGACATTGGACAAAGATATGCATACTTAAATATCATCATTTTATGCACTTTTTCGGTACATATTAGATGAAAGCATGCTAACCGCTTTTCAGTACTTTCAGTACTTTGATTTATACAGGTTTCATTTCCAAGTAACTTTGAGCTCTATGTTGAACAAACTTGCATGGATGATACATCTAAGGGTGCACACTAATAGACTTGCTTCAGATGCTGAATTTGACATACATTTTCCAGATAATAGACCTCATAAAAGTTATGGGTGCAGGTCTATCACCAAGAAACTATAAGGCTTATATAAACCAAAGTTGCACAAATGATCCATCAAGGGATGAAAACTCTCAATCTTGCCTCAGATGCTGGATTTTAATTACATTTTCATGATGAAGAACAAGTTTGAAGTTTTATAGGTCTATTCCAAAGTATCAAAATCAAAATTGCATAAATTTTGCATTTTTGGATGTACACTTTTTGTTGGTTAATTGTGCGACTTAATTTGCCTTACTTAAAGACAACATTCGTTGAGGTGAGCTCTGTAATCTCTGATTACCTATGTTTTTCTTTTGACCTTAGCCCAGATGTCTTTTGAATCTTTAGGTGTCTCTATTAAGTGTATTGTGAATCAGTCTGGGTGTTAACATATACTCAATTTTTCCAGACAAACTTTGTAATTTCATTAGCCTAAATGTATTGCCACTTGGACCAAAAGGAAATCAGATCATTACTACCTGAAATATCTAAATAATGGGTTGCCACGTGTTTGTAAACCCTCCTCCCAAAATTAAATGGTAAAATCAAACTCACGTGATATCAGCATTTGGATGCAACCCAAAAGCTTCTGGAGAATCCACTAGTGGCAAATTTGCTATGAAGTTCATGATATCACTAAGAAGTTTCATGTTTGGTATTTTGTATCCAGTATAAAATTGGAAGTTTGGCTGGAACATGAAATCTCCAAACCATACCTGAAAGAAAAGTAGACGTCAGATTCTTTTGCGAGCTTGGAATACATAGAAATTGTTTGTTAATATACTCCTTGTTTTCTAGTTTTTAATGATGATACAAAGATCATTCACAGAGAAACTCTTCATTCAACATATTGGAGTTTTATCCTTTATTATAAAAAAATATACTTAAAATGACACAATGCATTTTTAAAGTATACCAGGTATTTGCAATTTTTAGTCTTTGATTATGATATGTGATAATTTTACTTGCATTTGCTTAGGATGGAAATTTGTCTTATAAATCCAAAATTTGGCCTAAATATTGCCTTAGTTTTTTTTTTTCAAATTTACTCTGGTTAATTATAAATCATAAGTGACTGCCATCATGAGAAAAGGGCCCTTATTTTTTGACGTCACAATGCTCAGAAAACGACGTCAAAGTCGCTGTAATGTAAACACGGAAGTAATTTTTGTTGACTGCATTTTGTAAACAAAAAATAAAATTGAATTTCAAAGTGTAACAAGAATTTGAAACTTGATGCGGACATTTTTCAATAGGTATATGATATTATTACAATTTAGTACGCAAATTTATTCATAATTTTGTTAAAGTATTTAACTTGATGTTTATATACGGGGCATTGGACATGAACATTGCTAGCTCTGGAACAGCGATTAAAACGATGTCTATGCATGACTAAATTAAAGATGCTGCATTGTTCTTTTCTGAACAATTTACAAATGCTTAAATTTGTATTCGTGTTAAGAAGTCTTTATATTAAAAGGTATATTCCATATACATATATTTTTTTAGAGAGAGAGAGAGAGAGAAGAGCGAGCGAGAGATCTATGCACATATAGTAATTACCGTTCTTATAAGCGCCTCTTTTTTCTTGATAAATATATACAATAATTCAAAACGTATTTAGCCATTTTAATTTTAATCCATAGTTAATCATACTGATGTATCCCGATAGCCAGCCTTCGGTGAAATATCGATTTTAAATTGTGTGTTTAAAAAAAAGAGGGGGGAGGGGGGGTAAGAAGACAAGCCAAAAAAAAAATCTCCGAATAAAAAACCGGCAAAAGTTAAAGCTAACAAACATAATCCATCGTTGATTGAATTTAGATACTGGTAACATGGGAGATCCAAACCTTCTACATCAACAATAAATATTTTTTTAAACAATTTTAACAGTAATAAAATATGCTAAGGAAAAAATACGGATGATGGGGATGCCACGAAAATTTTGCTAAAATTAAATTTGTTTCAAAAACTAATTTAAAATGATCAAATAAATATATTCAAAGGAATTGAATGGTAGAAATTTCTAAAATTGTTCAGATGAAATGAATGAATGAAAACCTTCTGGAACCGATTTTGCAATATGTTAAGAAATCAAACACAGCTATTGTAAACTTTTCCCAAAAGCATTATACCCAATGTTGAAGAAATAACAATTTTACATCGACAGTGATATTATGAATGAGGATATTTATAAACCAAAAGGAAAAAAAAACTATAGATTAAGCAAAAAGACGTACGAATTTCTGGATAATACCGGATATATGGCTACATCTCTTTATAGAATCAGTGAAAAGCAAAAAGTATGTGACAAATTGTATGGCATGCCAAATTCACAAAAATGAGCAAAACATAGTTTCACAGTTGATAAACTAGGTTTATCGGTTGTAAACTATAGTTTACGGACTGTTAACTATAGTTAACAACGTTAATCTATATTTTACATCTGTAAACTATAGTTAACGCGATAATCTATGTTTCGCAACCGTAAACTATACTTAACACCAAAAACAATCATTTGCGATCGCAAAACATAGACTATCTGATAAACACAGTTTCACGATTGTAAACTATGGTTTACAACTCTTTACTATAGTTAATGATCGTAAATTATAGTTTACAGACGGGTCCTTCTCAGATATGAGGAAATAATAATGTCCATCACTTTTTAAATTTTGTTTTTTCATAAAATGTTTGTGAAGTTTAATAAATGTTTTCAATGTGTATGTTTTTATGTATAGAGACATATAACACAGTGTGCTGTTTTTATACCAGAAACAGTATCCAAAATATGTATTTGAAAATTGAATTGTCAAGAAATATGGGCAACCATTTTGGGTTGCAAATGAGTGCACATAAACCATGACCAGATTTTTCCAAGTTTAATGCATTTTTAAAGAAATTAATTTTTGACTGTTAATTCTATTAATAATTTATTGTAAAATTTACTGTAAAAAAATAAACAGATCTATCAACAGTACTATAACAAGAGGCCAAGGGGCCACATCGCTCACCTGAGCAATTGGCTAGAAAAAAGCACATATCAGATCAGAACTGAAAGTTAACTGAGGGTGGGGAGGGGGAAGGGGACTTGAATTTTAACCCCCCAGGGAGTCATGATTAGAACAAACTAGAATCTACAATACCTGAGGATGATTCCTTATAAATATCACTAAGCTTTGAAGTAATTGAAAAGATTTTAAAAGGTTTCCCTATATATTCCTATTTAAAACTTTTTCGGCCATTTGCCCCCCCCCCCCTACCCCCTGGGGGTCATGATTTGAACAAACTTGAATCTACACTACCTGAAGATGATTCCACTTAAGTTTCATCTTTCCTGTCTCAATGGTTCTTGAAAAGAAGATTTTTAAAGATTTCTCCTATATATTCTTATGTAAAACTTTGATCGGCCAAATGGCCCCACCCTACCCCTGGGGTTATGATTTGAACAAACTTGAATCTACACTACCTGAGGATGATTCCACATGTGTTTCATCTTTCCTGCCCCAGTGGTTCTTGAGAAGAAGATTTATGAAGATTTTTCCTATATATTCCAATGTAAAACTTGGATCGGCCATTTTGGCCCCACCCTACCCCCGGGGGTCATGATTTGAAGAAACTTGAATCTACACTACCTGAAGATGATTCCACATGACTTTCAATTTTCCTGGCTTAGTGGTTCTTGAGAAGAAGATTTTTTAAGATTTTTCCTATGTATTCTTATGTAAAACTTTGATCGGCCATTTTGGCCCCACCCTACCCCCGGGGGGTCATGATTTGAACAAATTTGAATCTACACTACCTGAGGATGATTCCACATGAGTTTCATCTTTCCTGGCCCTGTGGTTCTTGAGAAGAAGATTTTTTAAAAATGCCATTAATTTTTCTCTAATTCATAATTATCTCCCCTTGGAAAAGGGTCTGGCCCTTCATTTGAACAAACTTGAATCCCCTTTACCCAAGGATATTTGTAGCAAGTTTGGTTGAAATTGGCAAAGTGGTTCTTGAGAAGAAGATGAAAATGTGAAAAGTTTACAACAACAACAACGACAACGACGACAACGACAGACAACGGACAAATTTTGATCAGAAAAGCTCACTTGAGCCTTTGGCTCAGGTGAGCTAAAAATTCTTTTAAAAAGTGATGCATATGCCTATTACACATTCTGTCAAAATGAGATATTCTTGCAGGCATGAAATGTATCTGTTTAAATGATGATGGAATAAACAACTGTATGTTAATCAAAAAGTAATATCATTATAGAAGACAATTAGCACAAAAAAGCCTAAAACTGTACACTGAATCGGTTTTAAAACTCGTATTTTATTGGTGAACTCCAGTGTCGGTCAATTCCATAATAGGCGTACATACAGTCATAAATCGTCTAAACCTATCCGGAGGACGTTTTTATCCGGTGTCAGATTCGTCCGAGTCCAGTGTTATGTGTTCCACGTCATCGAAACCTGTCTAATTTGGGAACGCCAAACAATTATGGAGGTAAGTCTGATGTCGGTCAACTTTTCATCCAAGTGACTACCGTCACCGAAAAATAGTATAGTAGTTTTAGCGATAAGTAAATATTTGTGCTACATTAGAAGTTAGGATCACGAAAGGATTGATTCATAGAAAAAATTTAGGGGAAAACCACTTTTCTTCATCACTGCTCTGTGTATGTTCAGAGTTGTCGAAGAACGGCAATTATAGTTTGACACATAAGATGTTTACGGACATTATCTTTTGACACGAAATATTCTTACTAGTAATATCCGTTCATGTTTTATTAATATTTGTAAATTTAAATTTTGATTAGAGGTAATGTTACATGTAAAATACTTTTTTTGATCCTTGTAGCAGTTTTTACAAATTTCAGTGCGTGTAGCGAGTATGTAATACATGAACTACGAAATTAAGATCGGAAATTATGTTTTGACAAAGTAAGCATGGCAACTAAAGTACGTCAAATGTAATAGACAAACAAATATGACTAAAATAAAAGAAGTAGGTTAATTTACACATGAAATAAATATGTCATATTTAAAGAAGTTTGTGTTTATGCGGATTTGTTAATTCAGATTTCTCTTCTGTAAACAATGATTTAAACCAGAAGTCTCTGTCGAGACTGTAGCTCTACTGGTTTATACTTAAAACAAAGGAAGAGAAAAGTAGCAGTTGGGACTTGAGACTTTAAATCAGCAATAAATAGAAAAATGATCCTTGCCACTCATCAAAATAAAAACCAATGCACAGAATTATGTATCTTAGTACAGTCTACTTGTGTGCCAAGTTATACTGAAATCAGACCAAAACTGCAGGAGGAGTAGCATTTTGAAAGAATTTCACAGAAATTTCTATTTTTAGTAACCATGGCAACATTGTTCATCAAAATCAAAAACCGATGCACAGAATTATGTATCTTAGTGTAGTCTACTTGTATGCCAAGTTATATCAAAATCAGACCAAAACTGTAGGAGGAGTAGCATTTTGAAAGAATTTCACAGAAATTTCTATTTTTAGTAACCACGGCAACACCGTTTATCGAAATCAAAAACCGATGCACAGAATTATGTATCTTAGTGTAGTCTACTTGTGTGCCAAGTTATACTGAAATCAGACCAAATCTGTAGGAGGAGTAGCATTTTGAAAGAATTTCAAAGAAATTTCTATTTTTAGTAACCAAGGCAACACCGTTCATCGAAATCAAAAACCGATGCA